CTCTCTGGGTGAATGAATCTTCTATAATTTCATCCTTGGGTTTAGTGGTTGTCTCGGGTTGGGATTTTGTTCCTTTTTTCTAACCATGAGTTCCCAGTGCATTTTAAATGAACAGAGGTATTTATGAGATTGAAGTAGAAGTGAAACATTTTGCTGGATCAGAGCCAACTGCTCAGCACCTTACCGAATCAACTGCCAAATTAATTTATATTATTACTGAGCCTGTCATTTTGAAAACTTTCTATATATCTTTATGTGTGGATCATCTGGTACTATTCTCTGACATAGCTGACTATGAAACAGTTTTGGAGAAAACAAGAAGACTAAAGTAATCTCACTGTTTCTATATTAACATGATTTTATTTTTTTCTATTTGCCACATTGCAGTTTTACATTGAAATTTGTCTCTGCCAGGCCTATAAGGACACCAGCAACCCTGAGACTGTCCCTACCCACTCTCAGGTTTTCCCCCCACCCTGCTCAGAGTCCAGGACTCCACATCAGCCCCCCCAGGGCCATCAGCCCCCAGGGCCATCAGCCCCTGCCACAGTGATACAGCAGCAGTGCCAATCTCTGGTTCCCCACAGCCCTGCCCTACCCAGACACAGCCCCTGCTGAGCCAGGCCCACCCATGGGCCCATGGTCCAGCCCAGCCTTGGCCCATCCCCATCCTCATCCCCATCCCCATCCCCAGGGTGTTGCCCAATGCCCAGGGCTGGGGCTGCTCTGATGGCTCTGGCTGCCCTGCTCCTAGCTGAGGGTGCTCCTGGCTGCCAGGCCCTGCTGGTTCTCCCAGCAGGATTTTCTTTCCTAAGTGTTTGGGGATTCTGCTGAGAACAGGCTTCTGCTTACTTCACACCCTCACTGTTTTCTAGTCAGCACCTGGATATAAAGTTGCTGAAAGCCATAAAGAAGGATTTCAATATGAATCACACATTTTCAATATGAATCACGATTCATGTTCATGGAAAGACCAACAGCTCGAATTTCATGAGGCTTCAACTCTTTGAGAGACGTAACAAATATAAAGACTTTCTAGAGGGACCTTAGATATATCTATAGAGAAAGTAAAAATAAGGAAGTGTGTTTCAGAGTTTTTCTATTTACTGAAGATCCATTTGAGGGCTCAGGACCCACCTCTAACTCACATGTCCTCTGTCCTGTCAATGAGGTTTCCCTTTTATATATATATTTCATTTATATCTATGAGGTTTTCCCTTTTATGCAGAGCCCCTTCCATGTTCCTGATTTCAGCTGAGAGACCTCAGCCATAGTTCATTCACACTCATAGTCTCCTTTATTTTAAAGAACAAGGTGCCATTAAGTGTCTTTAACAAGCAATTGTCTTTGGATTCTGTTAGATTTCGCTTCTGCAGTTAGTTCCACCCAATATATGACCTGTCCTTTCCTTGGTTAGAGTGCAGTTCAGCTCATGTGGTTATCTATGTGAAAAAAGCATCTTGTATACACAACTGAGTACATTCTTCAGGGCAAGATAAAAGGATAAATTATATTTTCTTTTACATGAATGGAAATGATAAGAAACATATGTCATATTATTTCTTCTTCTTAAGCTATAATACACTAGCACACATAGTATTCATAGCACAGATGATTTAAAGAAAAAGATAACCACCATTTATAACACAATGTAATTAGAATATGAAAAATAAGGAAACCTCTCAAACATAACTGAGCACTAGTACAGGCATTATTTTAGAAAAGTTAATACAGAAGAAAATATATTCATGTATATTGTGTTGTTATTTATTTATGTCTTCCTTTAAGAAAGCTGTTTCAAAAGTAAATAGTATTTATTTATTTTTAATGGGTTCTTTGTTCTTGATTCAAGCCATGTTTTCCAGATCAGACTATTTTTTAAATACACAAGCATGTCAATCACACCACAAGGACTTTTACTAAGCAAGTTGACATCCAGCCTAGTGATAGCCACATACACAGTACCTCTGCCACAGATGCTAAGCCTACCCTTCAGTGTATGCTTACAGCTTTCATTCAGTTATTCTTGTTGCTCAGCCTTTATCATATAAACCACAGAAGTTTTAGATAATTCATCAGTTACAAAAAATACAGTAGGAGTCAATCTGCATAGTAACTACAAGAGCATGATACAAAACAATACCTTTAAATGTATAAAAACTCAATAATTACTCCAACAATTGAGGTCCTTTTGTGTTAAGCCTCATCACCAAATCCAGCCTGAATTCCACAGTATGTTTATCTAGTTCAAATTTGGTTGCATCTGTCTTTTCTTTACCTGGCATCTGAGCATT